CCTTCTTCTCGAGCCGACAAGAGCACCATGGGCCCCCATCACGTAGGTTATGGGATTTGTCCCACCTCAGACATGCGATAACGCCTGTTATATTCCACTTAGATGTATCCTCGCGCAAAGCTACCTCTTGTACATCCGCCTTCAGAAACTTTCGTATTTCTTCGTAGGTACAACTCGCCTTGCGAGCCCGAACATCAGCAAGGAAATTCATGATAGCCTGGGGGTCTAATACTGTCCTTCCATCGAAAGGGACCGGATTGCCGCGATTGTCTAACACTCTGGGCCTTCCCCAGAGCCACGCATGCGCAAGAAGTGAGACCAGCAGTCGACGTCGAGCCCTACGCAGTCTCAGTTCTTCTTTTGAGTCTTCAGATCCTGGCGAGGAAAAGAGTTTGGCCATGAATAGAGAAACTTTCTGCGTACGCGCTTTAAAGGATCCTTCTGCAATCACTTCATGTGAGAAAGAGCCATCCTCGTTCAAGAATATTGTAGAATCATCAACCCATTCTTGACTCCGTTCGAGACTCTGCAGTGCATCAAGCTTTTTCAAAGCTGAATCCTTTATCGTTTGAGGTTCAAAGTAGATAGGCGCGCAGAGTCTTTTCCTGGAATGCATATTATCCGCGAAGAGTAGGGGCATAGAAAAGTGATAGAACGGGCCGTGTAAAGTAACGAGAAGGATTAAGTTAAACGCAGTTTGCAATCTGACCCTTAAGCTATTTATGACCTACAAGTCAGTCAGCCGGTATAGCTTTACACGCCCTCAGAAACGCCCAATCTGCACCGCGCCTGGGCCGGTTTTGGACCCTTTTGGCGGAGATCTAATGAAGGATTATTGACGCCGGGCCCGGACCACAATGTATCTTAGGCGAATACAAAAGCGTTAAAGTTATCGTGACCGTAAGCGACCGTTTTGGTTGACGGGAAGCGACAGCGGCAACAATATGTTGGATAGGTGCTCTGACAGCAGCTGTGAGCAGGGATACAATAAGATTAGATGCCGACTTAGCAACCTCTTGAAGGGGTAGACTTTCACAGACGCATGAAGCTGATTACAGCTCCACTTGTGAAATAAATGCATCTATTACATTATACTTGGTTATTAGGTCACTGTGACAGCGCTTCAAGATTCTTCAATACCCTCAGCCCGGCCAACTAGATGCCAAGACGTGAAACTGGGTCGAGTGGCTCCACTTCAGATCAGGAACTTGCAGGTCGCAGGGATGAATAAATGCACGCCGATGTGGCAAGCAGTATTGTCGACCTAATACGGGTTATGTTAATTTCGAGAAGAAAAAAGGACAAACAGCTTATCATCAGAGGAAACCAACCTATGTAGTGCTCCAATTGCGTAGAATTTAACAAGAGCCAGCCTCACTAGCTACACAAGAGAACGTATAAGCAACAATACTCATATATCGATTCTAAATATCTGATATTCCCTAATCTAAAAGTAGAATAAAGCATTTTTCATAATAACTTATTTTTCTTCCACAGGATTAAGAATCGTAGCCAAGCTCATTCGCCAATCTCTCTTCTGAAAGTCTTTAGAATGTAAACTGCACTGAGTCGAATATGCTTCACTCTGTCTTCCTGAGCAAGGCAGAAATGATACAGGGCGGCCTAAGGGTGATGTCCCCGAGAACGAAGACCGTTCTATGTGGCGAATCCTAACTTGGTAAGTAACTCCCTATTACAATATGAAGAGACAAAAGGGAAGCAATACAGTACCGGTTCTGAAGCGGATTATCTATGTGACCTCGAAGCTTTTGACGTTCGCAACTAAGACCCTCGTCGGCCATTTCA